TTCTCTGATGTGTGCTGTGGCAGGGCGACAGCATGTTTCTAACACCGTAGGTGGTGTCTGAGCCGTGGGGCCATTGGCAGCTTTTTTTATTTTTTTAGGAAAGATGAAAACGCTTTTTTGAAAGGTTTGGACTTCGTTCAGATGTGGGATGGGAACATATTTGCAGAGGGGCGAAGCAGATCCACCCAGTCCTGTTCACACCCCATTTTTTTAGGAAAGATGAAAACGCTTTTTTTAAAGGTTTGGACTTCGTTCAGGTGTGGGATGGGAACGTATTTGCAGAGGAGCGAAGCAGATCCACCCAGTCCTGCTCACACCCCGTAGTTAGGAAGATGAAGGGTGCTGGTTTGCAATTCAGGTCTGTAACATCAAGCACAGCCCAGCTAATACTCGGTCTGTGGACCCATGCGGTTAATGCGAGTCTGTTGTTTATGTTAACTAATGTTAACCCATGTGAGTTAATTCACATTTACAGCCTTTCAGAGAATTTCCATGCGAAGCTACCGGACTGTAGTGTACACTGGTCAAAGCGGGATACACGGCTGCCTTCCTTACGCGCCTGCTGGTGTGCTCTGCTCCCTTGTCAAAATAGGGGAAAAGCCGTACCGGGGTGAAGCGGTAGCGATGCTGGCAAAAATGGGCAAAATGAGGGACTGCAGAGCAATAGAAAGGCTTAGGCAACCAGGCTACTTTTGTGGGACAACCATCAGTTAAACCTGGTTGCTCCGGAGACAATCTATGTTTTATTTAAAACTGGGACAACCATCAGTTAAACCTGGTTGCTCTGGAGACAATCTCTGTTTTATTTAAAACCGTAACTGGAGGAGAGCTGACAGCTTCAAAGTCACGCTTTTGTCTGGAAAGTTTATACGGGATTGTATCTCATTGGTAACAAACAACAAGGACTGATGCAGACTGAAACTGTTCGTGGATGTTGTCCCCACACTGTGCACGTTTGATGGCTCTTTCTGTATGTTTGCCTTTTGAATAGGGAGAGGGAGATGCACTAAGTTTAACACAATTTTAGTATATTGAAGCAGTTTCTCACAGACTGCTTTGCAGATTTTTAGTTTTGATGGTTTTGATTTATTGGGTCTTCTTCTGCTCCAGCTTTTTGGTGTGGGGTTTGTTTTGTGGTTGTTGGTTGGTTTGTTGTTTTTACCAGTGGAGCTTGTTAAATTTAATAGTCTCTTAAGTATTTCATTTTCATGCGTGTATCTTGCTCCTTGGAAAAGACACACAAATGTAGAGGCGAAACAGGGATTGGGTTAGAAAAAGTAGGTTACAAAGATCAGAAATAAAAGGGCTGCTAGAGGTATGCGAGATTTTGGGGTTTACTTCTTGTATACCTTGTACATGCATATAACCTGTGCTATACTTCCCTGAGTCCACTAGAGGAGGCGAACATTACAGATGCCCTGCAGGTTATACATACGAAATATGGTATTACAGGTGAAGATCCCCATACTGAGCAGTTGAAAATTAGAAGCATTGTAATGCATCATTCTGGACACTGGACAGCAAAATTTCCATTTTAATCCCTTCTGCAGCACTGTGATAATTCAATGATCATTTAAAAAAAAAAAAAATCTAAAAAGTTGTTTTGCACTTGAAGAACATGATACTGAGAAGTTGTCCTCGGGCCGCTCACTGGTGCTTACATTCAGAGAAATACAAGACTGCACTCAAAGCATTTTGTTTAGCGTGTGTTTAGTTTTTTCCTCTTATCTGTGGGTTGTGTGTTTTGGTTTTCTTGAGGTTTTTTTTTTTGCTTTTTATTGACAGAAAGAAGGGTGAATCATGGTTCTTGGAAGCAGAGAACAGGCCGTTTGGTTATCACTGCTGGGAATGCTGTGTAGCGAAACCGTGGGTGAGGGAGTAGGTGGTTCTACTTCTGCTCGTCTCGCAACTCCTAAATATGATCATAAACAGCTGAACTTGTGTCAGGCTTGCAACTCCGCTTGTAACTACACCCACCTCAGTTTGGAGTACATGCTTTATCATCACTGTGGGTTAAAAGACATTTCTGGGAGGCATGATATTTGAGGTTGTTCCACACCTTCTTGAACGGCTGCTTCTGACTGCAGAAGTGTGCGTACACATGAAAGTGTGCTTTTGTCTATGCTCATGATCTGTTTGCTTTGTTTCTAGGGCTCATCACAATAAAAGAAGCTCATGATATAGAAGCCAGACTTAATGAAGTGGAAAAGCTTCTGAAGACTATTATAAACATGCCCTGGAAGGTGAGTAAGCCAAGTTCCACACTGAGCCCAGCTTGACTCCTCCTTCATGGTGACATGCACTCTCATGCAGATTAGAAAGTGATGGGCTTTGCCAAACTCTAAAAGAACCAGCAATTTATTGAGTATCTTGGAGAACTGCTGAGTGCCAGAACTGTGTGATGAAGTCTCCAAGCTGTTGCTGGTAATAAGTCTTTCTGTCATACTACGAAGGGGTGGAAAGGGAGAAGAGGGACAAAGCAAACTACTGGTAAAAAAAATGGACGTCTGTTTCTTTTTCTCATTTTAAGTATTCAAGATCTGAAGTTGTCCTCACGTTCTTTGAGAGATCTCCTTTGGACCAAGTTCTAAAAAATGACAATGTCCATAAAATTCAGCCAAGCTTTCAAAGTCCAGTGAAAATATCAGGTAAGAGTTGTTAGCTTCCTACAGTCAACACAAGAATTACAGAATGAAAATTACTTTGTTTGCTGTTCCCCTTATTCTTTCTCCATTCACAATTCAGAAGATGGTTCTCAATAGTCTGCTTTATGATATAGAACATATAATTAGCCTTGACATACACGCATTCAGGCAATAAAGTGGCAGCTGAAATTGGAAGCAGATAAATACAAGGAAATGGATGTGAGGAAAATGCAGGTCTCGCTCTTGTCACGTATGATAGTGCTGTTGCCACTTCGGAAGGAGGTTTTGAGGCTATTGATACCGTTATGTGAAAATGTGAGCTCAGTGCTAAGCGGTGAGCAAAACCAGCAGTGAGAATATTAGATATTACTGTGAGAATATTAGATGTTACTGTGAAGGGACGGGAGAACAGAGGAAAGGAGCACAACTCCACCTTAAATACGGTGTATGCAATTCTGGCCTCTCCATCTCAGGATGACTATAATAGAATTTAAAAGCATACAAATAAAGGACAAGGATTCAAATTGTTGAATAGGTTCTCTAAGAAAAAGATTAAATAAAGAAGGACACTTCAACTTTGAGATGACAGTGTGGGGATATGATGGAAGTCTACAAAACTGTGAATAGAAGGAGGTCGATTATCCTGTGCTCCTCATGAAACAAGAACTATAAGTTATCCAATAACATTGACAGACAACAGTCTTTAAACAAACAAAAGAAAGGTTATGATATTGTTTTGTTTCCCTATGGGGCACAGTTAAGGAGTGGAACTCATTGTCATAGGATATGGTGGAACTGAAAGCATAAATGACTTCAAAAAGGAATTAGACAAGCAAAGGGAAGAAAAGTACATTGAGACCTGTCACAGGTGGAGACAGAGGAAGTTTCTAAAGCACAGATTGCTAGTGAGTAAAATGGAAAGCAGTATTACTCTATCCTTGCCTAGTCTTTCAACTTTTCCTCTCTTCATCTGCTACTGGCTCTTGTTAAAAGGTTTGTGAACTTTTGGTGTGTCTGGTTTTGTATTTCTATACTGAAACATTTTGCTTGAGCTTAATGGCCACTGCTGGTTTTGTGTCACCAGAAGAGTTTATTACAGAGGGTGAACTAAAATGAAATACTACATAGTCCTCCAAGGTGCATAAAGTGTTTAGCATGAAACTGGTATCGGTTTCCTTAGATACTAACAGTGTATCAGTTAATGGCCAGTAAGCATGTCAACATGCTAAAGGTGTAAAGAGTGTGTCTTAAGGATCAATCTTATACACAGGGCAGACTTTCTGTAATTGGAACTGAGCTCTAGTTCTAAGTGAACTAGTCCTCTGTTAAATAAATATTCTTTTAATGAAATGGTAAATGGTTTACGAATCCACCAATAACTCTTTAGAGGTGTACCGTGTAATACAGAGCCTCAGTGAGAAGCATCGTCTTGCCAGCCTGTCTGGGCTGGTGCCTCCTTGTAGGGCCCCCCGAGCCCTGGCTGCAGTGCAGCACAGGGTTTGTTAGAGACGAGACCCCCAAGCCGTACTGCCAAGTGGGGTGACGCAGGTCTGGCCTCCTGGGAGCGACAGACAGGAGCCCACATGTGTGTCTTATACCCCGTCTGTGGCTAGGGAGGTTTGGATGATGTCTTGAGTCAGTGTGGAAACCTCAGGTAAAATTCCTCATCTGTATGTTCCTGACATGAGTCATCTTCCAAAGGCTGAACGTGGTTACTTGCTTTGCTCCTGAACGCCGGGACATGTTCTCAGCGCTGACCCTTGAGTAAATATTCACTGCTCTTGTCTGAAATATATTGCTACTCTGTGAGACGGGAACTGCAAGTTGGGTCCTAACACCTGCCTGTTTTGAAATGAAGGATCCTCAAACTACATGCTGTAAAAATGTTTCAAAGGGTGGCTGTTGTCAGTGATACTTCCTTCTTTTTGCAAACAGGCAAATACAAAGAATAAACTTATTTGAAATTGCATTGGTTAGAAGCTGCAGCATTGCTCTGGCTTGGGCCTTTTTGCTGTTTGGAAGGTTTCATATAATTTTTGTGAGGGTGCGTACCCCCTGAGGGCACACATACTCTGTGTGTGCGTGACTGACTATGTCACTTGGTGGGTACAACAGAGAGAAGATGGTCAAGATGAACCTAAATTCAGAGGGAGGGTGCCTGGCTGATGGACAGAGGCTAGCAGCAAAGGGAACCCTCCTGTATGTAGAGAAGCTGTGGAAACCACGTTAGCTGAATAACAACATGTTTCGTTTTAATTCGAAATTAATTTTGGTAGAGACAAGTCATACCTAATTAATTGGACGGAGATTTTCCTACCTATGCAGTTATCCAAAAGCATCTTACGGTAATTAGTTTTATCATTTAAGTGACTGCTGCAAAGAATTTGAGAACATAGGCAGAAATTTGATGGTAATTGATATTTGCCTCGCCTGAGTGTTGCACACTGGAAATGGTTTCAGTGTCTGGCAGTGTTGTCAGTAGATGGCAGTAAATGTTAACGTCTAAAGCAGTTCGCACAGGAATGAAATGCTGGAACTCTTAGGTCATGTCAAGGACAGTAGGAAAACACTGTCATTCATGTGAGTCATAGTGCAGCTTCCTACATGGCTTGCAGACTTAGAAAAGCAGGCAAAAATGTTTTGTAGTCTCTGAAAAAATAAACTGTCCCCCACATGGTCCTGTTCAGAGTGGTAGGTGATGGGGAAGAGAGAAAGGGCCGCCCTCTTAGATGAAAGCTGAATTTGAATTTATGGTGTAAATCTTACTCTGCAGTACGATGTTGGTTCAAGGTGAGTCATGAGTATGATTCTGCTGGGATTCAGTGTTTTTACCGCCTCCAAATGTATTCTGCTGAAGTGAGTCACAGTAAAATACAGACTGAAAGTCAAAGATGACTTTCTCAAGAAAAATATGGAAGTGAGTTCTGGCTTTACCTTAATGTAGGAACATGTACATGCACACTTTAAAAAATTATCTCTCTTCTTTCTCCTGTCTCGTCTCCTGCTCATTACTTGAACTGTATGTATAGTTGAAATTTATTTGTTTGAGGATTCCCTGTGTGTGTTTTGTGCCTACTGTATTTTCTGCCACAGACTAATTTCCTTTTGTTTGTGCTGATAATGCAAGGCTGTAACACGGGGTCCTCGTACCTTGAGGCAGATCATGAGTCAACCCACTTAAGTCAGTGCTGATCTATATAGAGATGTGTGCTCATTTTGTGGTGGCCCTAGCTTCATCTAAGATTGTGTGACCGAAGGAAAGCCTTGTGACTTCCCTAGTTTGCGTTTCCACGTAGCAGAGATATGGACTAACTTCTCATTCACATTAAATACTATTATTTAATTATAAACTCTCCCTGTGGTAGTGAGTCAGTGGAATTAGGTGTAAATTTTAGCTATTCCAGATTGGAGGCTTCTTACATAGTGAGAAACAAACAAAAAGAGTTGAAGGCAGTGTAGAAGATGGTATTGCTTTACATGACTTAAAGATGGTGGTTGCATTAACTTGGAAGGTCACTTTTTATTTCCTTTTTCCTGTCTTTTTGATTTTTGTTTAACTGGCTTAAGCCTGAAACTGTCTAGGAAAAATACAATTATGTTTTGGTAGTGGTAGGTTGCAATGTATGGACGGGCTGCCATTCTGCTAAAAGTGATGGGAATTTTGCTACTGGCAATAACAGGGCTGAAACTGGGCTTTGCCTCAAATGCTCTGTGTCCTGAATTGATTATGTGAATAAAATTGCTTAAGTGCTGGCAGTTTGCAGATATAAGAAGCTGTGAAACCAACATTCATTCCT